AACATAGTATATGCTAAATATCAACACACACCGATACAACACCGTATAGGCTCGAGCTGTACCAGGTGAGGTATACAAAACTGTATATAAGTTAAATTAAAACCACTACATACACTCCTAAACATGAACTAATCTCACGGTACAATCGGGAACCAGTACCGTCACACATGCACGTGTTATAGTACCTGTGTATATTTATACATGGATAATCACACACATGCCTGTCTACTTTGCACGAATATTTCAGCAGATAACAACTAGGATGTCTTATGAAGTTGTACGAGAAACATACGGGAGCGTACACATTTTGGTCATTGACTATACTACTCACACAATGTACATCTCACACATATACACACGTTAATAAGTGTATATATACTGATCTCCACCGATCACAACACACACACAATACACATATACACATATGCATACTTTAGTAAGTGTATAAGCACGTCAAACATATACATGCTGTAATATGTGTATATATAGTGAATCTCCACCGTCTATAACACAAACTCAACATACAACTCACATATACGTAAAATAAGTGTACATACACTGATCTTCACCGATTATAATACACACTCAATACACACCACACATATACATGCTTTGATAAGTGTATATATACATCACATATACATATTCTAATAATTGTATGTATACATCACACGTATACATATTTTAACAAGTGTATATATACATCACACATATACCTACTTTATCAAGTGCATATGCACATCACACATATACATGCTTTAATAAGTGCAAATATACACAACACATACATACTTTAATACAACACACATATACGTATAGTGATACGTATACCGAGTGTACCTACCATCAAGCCAGCCAAATCATGCTGCACGTATTCCAACACCATCATAATGTCATTGTTCTGGGGCGCTGTGGGTATGAAGTGGGGTACAAAAGAGAAGGTAAATTAGGTATCCTAATTTCATCAAATCCCGATTCCAAATTGATTCGAATCTGGAGAGATAAAATTAGGGATGTGTATCCAGATTCTACCAAAAACCGATGCCAGATAAATTCGAAATTGGTGGAGCTGTCAGTGTGAAGTAGGATAGAAAAGTAAAACAAAATTAGGTTATATAGTCTGTTTTCCCTAAAACCCGATTCCAAATTAATAGGAAATTGGAATCGGTTGACATTTAGCCACTACGCAACAATACCTACATAAACAGAGTCACAAATATATTGCCGCCGTAAAGGTCCCGACACTTGAGGTAGTATAGTATAGTATAGTACAGTATTATAGTACAGTACAGTACAGTACAGTACAGTATAGTATAGTATAGTATAGTATAGTATAGTATAGTCAGTATGGAATAATATAGATAGTCTAGTCTAGTATAGTACAGTATAATATAATATTGTATAATATACTATAGTATAATATATTATGGTATAATACAATACAATACAATATAAAATAATACAGTCCAATACAATACAATACAATACAATACAATACAATACAATACAATACAATACAATACAATACAATACAATACAATACAATACAATACAATACAATACAATACAATACAATACAATACAATACAATACAATACAGCACAGACACCCTTGACTTCGTTCTCCATGCACCTACATCCAGCAAACCCTAAATTCAATATATAAAAACCTAAAACCACATTAAAGTGCACATACATGTGATACGATACAAACATATACATACATACAGCATACACATAAAACTGTACAGATAACTTTCTTCCATTACAACTATATACGTATGCAGCATTATATGGGTAGGACATACATACATACATACATACATACATACACACATACATACATACACACATACATACTCATCTACATCGATAACGAGACAAGTTTTTCATACATAAGTATAAAGGCCTATTTCATAAGCATAGGTATATAAAGAGAAATACCACACCCACCCGCAACTATATCCCTCAGCACCACCACATGCAGAAGCGATACCACAGCATAACTAACGTCATACAATACGAATATTAGGGTTCTAGGGTTCTGGGGTTATAGATTTGAGGATACATACACTTAGCAGTGCAGACACCACACACACATATATATATATATATGTATATACACACATACACTTATACACACACACACACATATATATATATATATATATCGATAAAACATACAAGATAAGTGTCCCACCTACTCGCAACTACATTCATATGAATTGGAACAAAGGCAAGTTCAGTATACACATATACATATATGTGTTTCATATGAATCCATATAGAGATTCAAGCCAAGTACCTTCAAGTACCTTCAATTACCCGTCACTAGATTCATATACATTGATACCTTGGTACAAAGGTAAGTTACATATACATACATACATAAACGTGTTTCGTACAAATCCATACAGAGATAGGCACATTGGTACAAGGGTAAGATACACACGCACACACACACACATATATATATATATATATATACGTACAAACACATGTTTCCTACACATCCATATGAAGATTACAATACAAGCCAAGAGCCTTTACCTACCGGTCACTATATCCAGCAATCTGACCACACTAGGATTACATTGGTAAGACATAATATATATATATATATATACGTACGAACACATGTTTCCTACAAACCCATACAGAGATTAAAATATAAGCCAAGAGCCTTTACCTACCGGCCACTATATCCAGCAATCTGACCACATTAGGATGGTTGATCATGCGTAACAGTTTGATCTCTCGCACTGAGGTGAGCGGGAAGCCTTCATTGCCTACGCGTGTGCGTATCTTCTTCAACGCCACCACACCGGCAGCTGTGTCCACACAGTGCGCCTTATACACGGACCCGTACATGCCCTCACCAATCTAAATAGGACAGGACAGGGCAGGACAGGACAGGACAGGACAGGACAGGACAGGACAAGACAAGACACAGGAGATGTGGAGGAGGAGAGAACGGGTGAGTGTTACTGTGTATAAAAATGGGTATGTGATGTGAGGGGAATGTATGTGAGAGCTGTCCACACATTTAGCCTTTTACACAGACCTCTACAGGTCCTGTCCGATCAAATCGGGACAGGACAGGACGAGGCATACTGTTGAAGATCCTAGTAAGTTACTTGAGCGACATACTAATGTGGTACTATAAGCGCGTGCGTGTCGTATGCAGAACCACAACAGCCGGGGCTTTGCTCGCGATGTGTACCAAATACACAGCACCAAATAGTAATCATCACAGCAATAGCCAGAGATAGGATCAGCAGGCACGGGTAAATGTGCGTGAAACAAGATGCGCACAGGATTATATGGATATATATAAATATGTGCACACACACACACATATATATATACATATATACAAATTAGATGTATAGATGTATATA